ATGCAGGAATACTCGTGATGCTCTGATCGTGCCTCGTTGAGGGCGAGGGTGGTAAGTGATGAAGGTGCGCTGTAACTTGTGCTGTGGCATCAGCAGTGGCAGTGCGCGGCATCTACTGCGTTCCGGGCTGTGGTGCGTCGGTCCTTGGCAGGGTTTGCACGGGGCAAGTTACCAAGATCAGCGGCGCGATTGAGGCCTTCAGCACGCTTCCCGTCTGACGACAATATGCTATTTGATGTTTGCGGCTGTGCGCATTTGCAAGTCTAAAATATTGCATTAGACGCAAATGTGAGATTTGGTTCACGTGTAAGCCGGGGAAGTGAAATGATTCCTAAAGCACCACTGATGCTCACGTGCTTACAATTTTTGTGTGTGCAAGTTTCGTAACCAGCCGTGGCGTATACCGTACAAAGTGTGTGTGTGGGAGCCTGACGCGAGCGGCTCGGGCGATTGGGAGGACCTCGCCGCAGTTTCTGGTCTTTCCTCGGCCGTCAGCCGTTGACGCTCCGGGTAAGTATGATTAAAGTGCTGTCGGCGCCACGTGCGGGGCGTGACAGCGAGGGATGACATGGGTCTCAGGTGATACTGCGGACAGGTGTCTCCGCGGCGAGTATGAGAGGTTGGCTACCTCCAACAGGGTCCCAGCAACAGGCCGACGGCCCCGCGCCTGTGCCGACGGGTCTCACTGCTTGGTAGTGTGATAACGGCGTTAAATAAACGACAGTATTGTGACAATGTGGGTGTTTTAGCTGGCATTTGTACTCGATGGGGGCGGCAGACTTACAAACGACACAGGTGTGGCTGGAAACAGGAAGGCGGCGGAGGGCGCTGGGCGGGTGAATGGGCGGTAAATGCGACAACACACTGCACAGGGTATGCAAGGTGCACTGTTGCACGATTTGAGGACAAACCGAATATACAAGTTGGATATAGGTTTATGTATGAGGCTCGAAGTTTATAAACGTGAATAATATAAACTTTGATATAAATTCAACCTTTAAAACAACTTATCATTATGGTTTGTGCAAGGACGAGGGTGAAGACTACTTCGGAAGCGTTAAGTTAGCCCTAATACATCGACCGTTCCCAGCAAGGTCATCCTTGGTGCTACTTCTGAAAATTTTACAAGAGGAGCCAAAAAGTTCTGAATTGACTGTGGCACAATATGACGCTGATAGGATTCTTGTACTCGATATGTCAGCACGAGAAGCAGATAGCAGTACGGTTGTTGGTGCTCCCTTCGTGGCTTGTCGTGCTGATCGATTGGTATAGAAGTACCAATTTCGATAAATTTGATGCTAAGGATATTCTTGTTCCGAACTTTCGACATGGCTTCAAATTTTCCCGACATCTCATGTGCTTCTGCAAATGGGATAGGCCTATAAGTTGACATAAGCCGGCCATCTTTTATTGATGCTGTCGAGGATGACAAATATCACCTCGAGTTTTCGGCTACCACGACCAAGAAGCATTGAGAAATGGACTGAGCTCAACGAGGCGCGAAGAGAGCACGCTTGACAGTACTTCACAATAAATTTACTGTGCAAAAGTGGTGATCACTGATCCCAAGATGGCGTTGCATTACATAACCCACTGTCGATAGTGCGTCGATGCTGTAACACCATCAGCGTTCAGCATCACCATTGAAAGGGGCCATTTTATGAGAACTGCGCCTGCGCCTAACAGCAATTCAGCAGCAGACTCATGCAGTCTAGTCTAATTTTTCACGGGCTTCCTACCGTATTGGCATGAATTGCAAATTCGACGTACCGACCGGCTTTAGACAGCCCCAACAGTGCGTTATAGTACCTACTAGCACAACTGCGTCCTATGGCGCTTATCCCCAGATGAGCGGTCTTTGAAGAACGCAGCCGTAGCCTAACCTTAGCGCGGGCAGGACGGCCGGCTGAGAGTTACTCGAGCTGTCAAAACCAGGCCTCATCACTACGTGTTTTTCTTTCCATTCTGCTATTCAAATATTAACCCGCGCCCCGTAGGGCTACCGGCGGACCCTACCACCCGTAGGGGGGGGGGGGCGTTTCGGCCCCCCCCCCCTGAGATCTCGGAAATTTGTCGGCCGATTTTCAAAATTCAAACGGCGTTCGGTAGCCCCACCGGGGAACTACCTTGGGACCAAATTTCATTGCCCTACTGTTAACGCCAGACCCCTTGAGACCCAATTTTTTCGCGATTATTTTTAAATGCGTGGAATAATTTCAACCATATTTAGGAAGGAGTTGTTTCAAGACCTGCCGAAACTTTTTCTTCAAATATATTTTGTTGTCACTTAAATATTTGTGGCGCTTGTCATTGACTCGTAATGTTAACTGTTTTTCCATCCTGGATAGAGGCTTTCATACGTCATATGACATTAGGCTCCGCCCACGACTGCGGCATTGACCCGTGCCCATCAGCGACCTCTGTACAAACGACACCCCTGCCATCTGTAAAGAACTATGAATTTCGCTGACGCTTCACGTGCTATGAATCAATTGCAGCAGATGGTCGAGCAAATGTCAGGCTCTTGTTGACTCTTGTATACTTATAGGACCAAGAGGACCATCACTCCTCAACCTTCTACTCACACGTGCTTCGAACAAACGTTAACGATTCCTAACAAATACGATTTTCGATGTAGGATATCTGTTTGAAATACGAGCGAGCCTTATGATGTGAAGCGAAGGCAATTAACTTATTATTGCGTTGTTCGATGGTTGCATAGCGATGTACAAATCGGCAGCTACTTGGTGACATCCGACATCCCAGTTACCAGTATCACATTATCTGCAACGCCATAGGCTTTAAATACAGGTGAATATTTAATCTTATGTCAGTTATATGCCATCTGCACGTCATTTGCAGCTTGTAAAAAAAAAAAAATATATCAGCGAACATATCAGCATTGTACAAGCAATGCGCATTTAGCATTTATGGCTCCTCAGTCATCATGTCACTCTTTGGGCACTGTCAGCCAAGACGTTACGCACAACTTCGCCGGCTTTCGGCACCGCTCGGCCGTCCCCGCTCCCCGCCACAGCGAGAGTGACCGCGCGCCGGCCCGGAACCGCCGCAGGCCAAGACCACAGAGGCGGGACTTAGCTGTGGCATCATAACGTATCACAGACTGGTGATAGCCTCTACACACCGGATGAAAATCTTGCTCGAAATTTAAAGGTAGTGTGCCACCTTTGAAAGATTTCCCGTTTTATTTTTCCTAGGATAAGAAGCTTCTGTTTTTACCTAATATCGCAAAAAAATCAAAAATGGGCCTGGAATAGTGCCTTTTTCGCCTAAAAGTTTATCGGTTTTTAGATATGTATAACAACTGTAGTGGGCTCACCTGCAAACAGGCGTCGGGCAACAATCGCGAATGCGGCGCACTTGTGACAATAAGCAAAGGTCATTATAGTGTTACGACCATACGACGTACGGGAATGAGTTATCAGCTGTCTAATCGTAGACAACACAATGTCGAGCCTTAAACTGTAAGCCTGTATTGGTATTGTTTCTTAAATTTGGCTGTCGAACATTAATTTGTGGTTTGAAATATGATTTTATGTAAAATAATTGATATGAAACAGCCGTCTCTTAAGTTATGACCCCATTACACCACACGCAAGTGGCAGAAATGACAATGATCAGCTGACGCATTTTTCTTGGCCGAAGTCAGAGCGCGCGGCCCGACGCACCACGCGTATTTGGAAATTCCGACCTCGACGAGCATCAGAAGCCACCTAACAGGCGTGTTCGAAACCGCAGAAGATGATGATGAACGGGTTTATCGAAACTTGATTGGATGAGCCTATCGGTAATAGCGATTTTAGTGTGTGCATTTATTGTTCATAGTGGTGTGAAATGTGGTTGGGGTACGACCGACAACCCGTCGGGGCGAATTTCACACTGGGGTACTCAAAATTTGAAGAATTTAAGACGTTTCCATAAGTTTTGAAGGTATGGATAAGTTCTAAAAATCCGGTTCTCCTTATCCGGGTCATTAACTCCATATGGTCCAAGAAAGCTGGCACACTACCTTTAACATTACGGGTCAATGAGAAGTGCCTGAAATATTGAAATGGCGATAAAATATCTAAATTGTAAAAGTTTCGGCAGGTCTTGAAACGGCCATGTCCTGAGCTTGGTTGAAATTCTTCCACGCATTTAAAAATAATCGCGAAAAATTAGGGTCTCAAGGGGTCTGGCGTTAACAGTAGGTCAAACCGTAGGTAGACTGTCACCTTTTTTTCACTTACCGGTTTTCGTAAGAGGTGCCCGCCCTCACCACAGATGTCCAGTCCATTTTCCGTTATCCTCACCCTGTAACGCGCAATCGCCTCCCAAAGTTCCATTTGATGCCATATTTTTCGCCGGTGAAAATGCTCATCACTACGATAGCATGTATGACACTTTTCATTACATTTTGGCATCATAGAGATTCATTGTTATTTTTCTTGAATGTTGTGACAAATTTCGTAATACCAATATTAATTTCAACAGCAAAGACGTACATTTAGCAAATTAATGTTGAAGGTTTCCTAGTATACTAGCATGAAGAAAGGCCGATCTCTTAGCATTGTGAAGGATTTCAGGGAAAGGAAAAACTTTGTCGATTTTAATTAAGAGCATTTTATACAAATTTTAAGGAAAAACTCGTCAAAAGGGTTTTATTTATCTTTTCTTATTCACACATATTCAATTCAAAGGCGATAAATTGTTAATTAGCAAATTTGTGGTAGAAGACAATGCTTTTTTTTACTTGAAGGGAAGTGGTAAAGGGAAGACCTGAGGTCCGATCTCTTCAACACTAGTGAAGGGAGCAGACCCTATGACAAAGGTAAGTGGTAAAGGATTTTTGGTTTGCTACCATGTTCTGCATGTTTCCACCTCTGTTTCAAACACGACGCGATAAAATTGAAGACTTTTTCGGGGCACGTGTCAAATGTATTGCTAATTCATACATTCGTGTGCGAGACGTCGGCGGAGGAGGAGCTCGAGTGTAGCTGCGATCTCTCGCGCGTTACTGAGGGTGTTGGAGTTTGGGTTCATTGGTTTCTATTTTCTGTTTCGTTTGCAAGGCAAGTTCTTTCTTTGAAGTAAGAGGTGATGCAGTGATGGATCGGAGGCGGCCCGTAAAGCGGGTGCGACCTGACGAGTTTTTCTTTGACGGAGGAGAGTCCAACAACACAGGGTCTTTCTTGAAGGTAAAGTTGTTATCTGATGTTTCATTTAAATCAAAGGGATGGCCTTGGGTTCAGCTCGGAATCAGAGGGATACTGGGACCTGATGATAGGTTGGCTAAAGCTAGCCTCTTGGCTGATGGTGGGCTGCTGATGAGGACAAAAAATGAGTCTCAGACTTCCAAGCTTCTGAAAGTTCAAATGTTTGCAGGTGAGGAGTGTCAGGTGATCAGGGATGAACGGCTCAACACCTCCCGGGGTATCGTGCGGGCCCACGACCTGATGGAACTGTCTGAGGAGGAAGTAGCTGGGTGGTTGAAAGAGTTTGGTGTCACAAAGGTCAAAAGGTTCACAAGGAAGGTCAATGGGCGCACTGAAAGGACAGCAACACTCCTTCTAACTTTTGATACCCCCACCTGCCCTTCTAGGATTTCTTTGGACTATGTCACTTACAAAGTTGACCAGTACATCCCAAATCCAATGATGTGTTACAAATGTGGTAAATTTGGCCATTCTGAAACGACATGCAAGGATGATCGTGTGTGTCTTGTCTGTGGGGAACCGAGTCATGAGGGAGAGTGCACTCCAAAGTGCATCAACTGTGGCAAGAGTGGCCACTCCTGTCAGGATAGGAGGTGTGAGATATGGGTCAAAGAGAGGGCAATATGTAGAATGAAAGTAGAACAAGACATTTCCTTTGGGGAGGCGAGGAAAAAATTTGAGGAACAAGCACAGAAACAGAGTCCAAAATCATATTCTGAGGTCCTTAAGGTACCACAGAGCTCATCCCCACAGGAGGAGGAACTGAAAACCAGGGTGGGTAAGCTTGAAGATGCAGTGACAGAGCTGGTGGGTTTGCTCAAGCAGGTTCTGGGCAAACAATTGGATCCCAAAGGCACAGACAAGGAGACAGAGCCTGCCTGCATCACTGACAGCGGTGCACAGGGTGTAGAGAGTAGTGGTGAGATTTCATGCATAGAGACAGAGAGTGATTCTATGGAGGTTCAAAAACATGGTGATGTCGACTCAGATGAAAGACCAGTGACTGGCTTTGACAAGGAGATTGGGAAGTGGCAAACTGTGAGGAAGGGCAAGGGAAAGAAGGGAGGCAACATGCCTGTCCTTCCAGCACTGACTGGGGATGACGAGATTTCGCCGTCCCCCGAGCTGACTCGATTCACTCGAGCCCCAGGGCGAGGTGAACGTGGTCGGCTCAAACCAATGCAGCGGGCCCAAAGTGCTTCGCGACTTCCTTCGTCCAAACAGTGTTGGCAAAACAATTCCCATCCCCCCAACTCTTAGACAATACCCAGCAAAAGCATCATTTCTGTGTTTGTGGTTTTTTCTGGCAAATATCGAACAATTATTTCCAGTGATTACAGTTGCCTGCGTTTGTCGCAGGTTTTAGTCGGTACCCAGATTATGTATTATTTATTTCCTTATCCTGATTTGCATCTGGTGTCTGGTTTCAGTATCTCATGCGTTATATTTGATTTTGTGGTGGTCGTCGTCAGTCTGCCAGGCGATCCTTTTTTGGGTCGGTTTGGCGGCGGGGCTGATGAAACGGGCGTGTTTTGTCGGAGCCGGGATGGTTCGACCGGCGCCCGGGGCAGTAGGGCAGGTCACGTGACCCGATGTTATCGCGAGGTCGGCGGGCCGGCCCCGGGGCTAGGCGTGGGCCCGGTCCTGGGGCGCGGCGTGAGCCCGACCTCAGAGCCGAGAACGAGCGCAAAGGTGACCTTGACCGTGCTGGGTACTTTTCCGTCGAATAGTTAGTTAGAAACAGCGTTATGGTTAATAGTGTGAGGAGTTTTACCATCATGCAATGGAATGCTCGTGGAATGATTGGAAAATGGCCGGAGATTAAACCTGTGCTACTGGAAAAAGGCAAAGATGTGATTTGCATCCAAGAGTCACATTTTCTCCCTAATGATCCTTATGACTTCCGCCTTAATAATTACACTCTTTATAACGCATTTCCCAATACGGACAGGAGACAGGGAGGAGTCAGTATTTATGTTAACAATAAACATCCCCATTGTCAGATAAATCTGAATACTTGTCTACAAGCTGTTGCAATATCGGTCCCAACTGGCAGATGTCGGCTGTGTATTTGTTCGTTGTACCTTCCGCCGAACGAGCGTCTTTCGCAGCAGGTTCTCAGTGGTCTGGTGAGCCAGCTGCCACAACCTTTTATTATATGTACAGACGCTAACAGCCGACATTACATGTGGGGCGCAGATCGTTGTGACCAGAGAGGAGTCATATGGGAACGAGTTATTCGTCAACACGCACTGAATATTCTTAACGATGGCAGCCCGACACGGCTCGATGAATACTCTGGACTATGGTCCCATATTGATTTAACATTGAGCACGGGTAATATAGGTCAGTACCTGCAATGGTGTACCGACTCTGATCTATATTCCAGTGATCATTGCCCAATATACATAACATTTGATCTGCCTGGAACTGACACCTGTCGGAACACAGATTTCACGGGATGGAATACTAATAAGGCCAACTGGTCTGAATTTACTGAGAAGTGCGACTTACGATTTTGTGAAGGAATAGGAATGGAAAACTGCACAGCTATGACCGAAGCCTTACTGAGGGCTGCGGAGGATAGCGTACCTATGAAACGGAACAACTCAAAGTACACTTGTCCATGGTGGACTGAGGAATGTAAAGAGGCGATTCGTAGTCGGCGACGAGCACTCAACCGGTTTCGTCGTAGCCACCAAACTTTACACCTCATGGAATATAAAGCTGCTAAAGCAAGAGCAAGGCGAATTATTAGACAGGCAAAACGGGACTCTTGGGAGAAACTGCTACATATGTTCAAACATACCACCCCTATGCGACAACTATGGGACATAATACGGCGTTTTACAAAGAAGGAGCGCTACCAGCGGCCATTGCCCGTATTATGCATCAATGGCAATATGACAGACGATCCCAAAGAAGTCGCTGACGTGCTCGGGAATTTCTTCTCGGGGATGTCGGCGTCCATTAATTATAGAGCTGCCTTTAGGGAAAGAGAGAGTGTTTTGCTCGAACAGCTTCCATCGTTTGCGAGCGACAACGACGAGTGCTACAATGACATGTTTACTATTGATGAATTGAGATGGTCAGTTTCCCATTGTGGAAATACCTCTGTTGGGCCTGATAAGATTCACTACATGTTTTTCAAGCAACTTAATGATGAGCAATTGACACAGATCCTAAAGCTGATTAATTACATTTGGCTTTCAGAGCGTCTTCCCGACACTTGGAAACATTCCATTATGGTGCCGATCCTTAAACCCGGGAAGCCAAGTCACCAACCCGAATCTTACCGACCTATACAGCTTACATCATGCTTCAGTAAGGTCATGGAACGAATGGTTACCAGACGGCTGGCGTGGTTTATTGAAAACGGAGGAATGCTTTCAGCCATTCAATGCGGATTTCGGAAGGGACGGAGCACAGCTGATCATTTACTACGACTGGAGTCCAATGTTAGACAGGGCTTCTTTTACAACCGGTATACTTTAGCTGTATTCTTGGATTTTAAGAATGCGTATAATCTTATTTCGACGGCGGCCCTGCTGACCAAGATGCACGCACTTGGTTTCAGAGGGCGAATGATGCACTTCATTCGATCCTACCTTGATAACCGAACCTTTCAAGTCAGAAATGGCTGCCTCTCCGATACATTTGAACAGGACAATGGCTTGGTACAGGGTGGTGTAATTTCTCCGGTGTTGTTTAACATCATGATAAACGACATATTTGATGGAGTCCCCGGAAACCCAACATGTGCGCTGTACGCTGACGATTGTACCATGTGGGTGCAAGGAAGGAGAATTGCACAATTAGTTGACCGAATGCAGTTAGCTCTCGACCATGTTAGTTCATGGGCTGACAGATGGGGCTTTGTTTTTTCACCGCACAAATGCAATGCCATTATATTCAGACGATATATGAAAGCAAGGGAATTAGCCACTGTGCCCCGATTGAGACTTTACAACGAGCACTTGAGCTACTCCGAGGAGGTCAAGTTTCTCGGGGTTTTGCTCGACACGAGACTGAATTTGAGCAAACATATTAAATATGTGAAGGGAAAGGCAACTAAACGTATATCAATCCTAAGATGTTTGGCCGGAGGGAACTGTGGAGCGGATAGAACGATACTTTTGCGAATTTACAAATCAATGATACGGCCAATACTTGATTATGCATGCCAGATACTGGATGGTCCACGAAACAAAACAGTTGAGTCGCTTGATAGCATCCAGAATGCATGCGTGAGGATTGCTACGGGCGCGCTTAGAACCTCCCCCATACTACCTCTGATGGTGGAAGCAGACGTACCTCCTCTGAGATTAAGACGGTGCGATTTGACCTTACGGTACTGCTTGAGAGTGAAGAGTGACCCCAACCATCCATGTCTTGAATTGATATCACGCGGTGCATCGCTGCCTGCCATTGATAGTGATTATTTGAAGCGAATCGCAGGCTTCCCTGTGTATGAGAGGCTCTCGGCTATATGCGCTGAGACAAACTTTGATATGCCGAACGAATTGACGTCCTTATCTGGTACCATCCCGCCTTGGCACTTGCAGAAATGTGATCTGATTCGACTAACAAATGAGAGAAAAGCAAACTTATCTGATATTGAAGTGCAATGTCAGTTTAATGACCTCAGAGAGAGATATGCAACGTTCTCTTTCTGCTTTACTGATGGATCAAAGAACCATGATGGTGTTGGATGTGCGTATGTACTTGGAAACCGACGTGAAAGGTTTAAGCTGCCAAATAACTGCTCTGTATTTACGGCGGAAGCATTCGCTATACTACGGGCACTGTTATTTGTGGAGGAAAGTGGTATCATGAGATGTGTCATTTGCACGGACTCCCTGTCCGTGCTGACTGCTCTTCGTGGGCCGGTCACTTCCCATCCTACTATCATGAAGATTTTAGAGACCTGTCATCGATTGATTACTTTGTCTGATCGCGAACTTGTTATTTTGTGGATCCCTGGACACTGCAGCATCACTGGGAACGAGCTAGCTGACCGTCAGGCCAGGGAGGCTATCTCGCTGGATCAAATAGTAGTCCTTGAAATGGGTCCCAAAGAGCACTATCCCGATATTGGGTTGTCTGTCCGTCGCCTGTTCAATCAGTGCTGGCAGCAGTATAACTCAAACACCAACTTGAAGTTGATAAAGGATGAAGTTGGATCATGGTCATCTTGTAAACGCGCCAGTCGCAGGGAGGAAATCTTGTTATGTCGCATGCGAATAGGACATACACGATTCACTCACGGACATATAATAGATAGAGACCCCAGGCCTGAATGTAACCGATGTTTGTGTCCCCAGTCAGTTAAACATATACTTGTGGAGTGCCCAGTGTATGCTACTCACCGACAATCGATTGTTCAGAAGTGCCTTCAATTGGATGTACCACTTACCCTGAAAACTCTTCTGGGTGATCAACACCCGGACATCACTGACGAGGTTTTCAGGTTCCTACGTGCTACCAATCTCTTCAAAAAGCTGTGACTGCGATGATCTGCGATGAACTAGCTGTGATTATTTGTGTTTGAAGCTATCATGTGCAATTATTGGATTATGTTAGTCTACCTGCCGATTGGCGAACCCCGTCGCGACTGATGCGGAGGGCATGGCCGTCGATCTGGCACATTGATGTGATCTCCTGCTTTTGTAATTTGTGTTGATTGTTTACTTTATCGTCTCTCTGGTGTTTTGTGTTATGTGCTGCGACTGCTCTGTGGACGTCCTCATGTGTGTAACAGTCGTGCATTGTGTGGGAATGATTGGATGAATGGAGATTGAATGTTGAATGAGAAGGATGCGGGAGTGGAGATGCATCGGTGTGAGAGATGGATGCAGTTAGTGGATGAATGAAGAGCAGCCTGTACTGGTTTGCTACTGTAGTTTCTTTTTCTAGATTTCTCTTGGATGTATACCTTCGTTAATCTTTTTTGTACCATCCGGTCCCTTCTTTTGTAGAAGTAGTCGCATAGTTCCGAAGTTGAGGCTCGTTATGATCGGTATGATCATGAGACATGAACCCTCCAACGCAAGTTGATAACTGAGTGAGGTACCAAGAGCAGACTCGTGCCTGAAGATCCTTTTGAACTGAATGGCTCGCTGGACAGATGCGAGGTCAAGAGCGTTATGATTGAATGACTCATAACCAGAAACCATCCTTTTTGTTTCTATTTTTAAGTTTTTAATCAGTTATATGTTAGAAACTAACCGTTACTAATATACTTCACCGGACATTTCCTGCCTGGACATATCCGAAGCCCGCGCATACATCCCCACGCCATCCCATGCTAAACCTATCATTTTCCTTCATCTGCTTAGTTTCCCTCTGCACAATCTGAGGGCTGTTCACGGACCCTGTGTGCGGTCGGACCGCACACAGCCTCCAAGCTCCGCCCACTGCGTCCCTACGTCAGCCTTGCGTCACCGCACACAGCGACCGCTGTGGCCGGTCGGGACTGGCCACAGCGGACCGTCCACCGCACGCAGCCGTGACGTCAGAGCCGCCTACCCATCCCCTACCCCCACGCCTGCTGGACGCTCCGCACACACCGCACGCAGCAGTGTGCGGTGCCCGTGAACACCCCTCCGGCTGCAACCGATTGCAACATCTACTCGATCGAGACAAGAATGGCGCACTGATGACAACAACTACGGACGCTTGAGCCCAACGAGGCTATGCGCCCTAACCCAACAAGTACAAGTAAGTATTGCCAAGGCCATCTATAGAAGGTACAGTCACTCCCCCGCCGACCAATCAGAGACAGATCCTGAGTGACGTCACCCCTGATGCTCGCAAGGGGTACTCCATTCCTTTCAACGTAAAAATGACTAATTTCATTTGAAGATTATTGATGGCACTCTACACATACCGCTCAGCCGTTGATGTCAATGGAAAGCCCAACTAATTTTCCAGCGACAAAAAAGAGCAGCAATATGCTAAGAAATGGCCGGTTTTGAAGATATAGACGATTTAAAAACCCAACTGTCGGCCAAATGTCACGTGACATTTGACCTTGACTCGGCACCAAAATTTGATGACAAATACTGCGCGGTTGATACATTTGATGGCGTCAACAAACTGCCTGCTCCAAATCTTATACAATTTTAAGCTTGTATCAGATTTGCAATCTTTTCTCTTGTATTTTGCTGTGACCTGCCATAATATTTTATTGCAGATTGCAGAGCTCTTACTCTGATTCAGTTTTGTGTTAGCAAGCAGCATGCCAGGGTGTTTTGCATCTGGGTGCAGCCACCACAACAGCGCTGCAAGATGTACATTTAGGAGGTTTCCAAGAGAGGAGAAGATGAGGGTCGCTTAGGTGAGGGCTGTCAGGTAAGATCCAGATGTGTCCTTCTTAGCTGTAATGATAAATGCAATACATTATGTAGTAATGATAAATGTAATAAATGTTATGTAATGACGAGCACAAACCAGGAGCTTTTACAGCCCAATGATCACCATAGGCAAAGATTCCATTTCTCGTCCTGAAAAGTGCCTTCTTGGGGAATATGTGCTTTGCTGAGGAATGCAGCCATGTCATCGTCAGCTAATCAGCATGCTGCTAACAGCCAATGGGTTTGAATTTTACAACATGATTAATCAATGCAAGCTTCCGCGTCAAACAATATTTTCTATAGAATATTGGTTAGTTGTAAAGCAGGCGTCACACTGCTTTTTGCAATGAAGGAGAGGTGCTATACCAAGAGATGCTTTCTAATTGAACCAAGCCAAAACAAACCTAACTAAACCTGACCTAGCCATACCTACAACCTAAACTCTACAACCTAGGTACAACTTTTTGTTGCTTTTGTTGCTTTTTGTTGCTACAACTTTTTGTACAACTTAGAACCTACAACCTAACCTACAGCACCTCTCCTTGGTTGCAAAAAGAAGTGTGACGCCTGCTTTACTACTACCAAATATAGTTCTTCTTTTATTAAAATACAGAAAATATTGTTTATATAAAGGTTTTATTTTTGTGCTGATCATAATGAGCATAACAAATCAAATCCATTGCATAAAACTAATTACAGGGATGAGAACATGAAATCCATTAAAAGCTTATCATATTTATCACATTCACAAGTTACCTAATGAAGGTAATGCTTTGACCTGGTAATCCGTTGAGTGTAATGCTGCAGGCAGCTCTAAGGGATGTGTTGGGATGGGTAAGGAAAACATTTTTGGTTGAAGAGGTGTGTTATAGGCTACAGGCCAAATGCATACCTCTTTAACAAAAAAAAAGATGTAGGTACTCTTACCTAGCATATATTCCAGTTACTATGTACAAAAAAGACGTGCTACGAATGTTGCTAGCGAACCACTGTAGGTTGGGTTAGTTAAGGTTTGACCATGTTCTGAAGCATTGTAAATAATCATAATTGTTCACTCTTAGCACCTCACATTGATATAAAGCCAATTAGCTACATTTTGATTGCTAGGTGAGGATGTCAACCTTCTGATTCTGGATTCTGGAGCAAAAATAACATGATACAGTGTCAGTGATACCATCTTGTTTAGAAGCTGTGGCTGTGCTGTCTGAGTCAATATCTTACCTCTAAACACAAGGCATTTTGTATGTAAAAGTCCACGTGCAAGAACAGTATGCCAGTTGTTACATTTGTTGCATCTGTCATTTACAGACGTGCAGATGCAGTTCCCAGGAGCACTTCCCAGCTCTGTTCCTGTCATTTTGAGGAGGGCAGCTGCATCCCAACACTCTTCCAGTACAACGGGTACCAGATTGCTCATTTCCGGTAAGCACTAGCCACTTAACTTCATTGTTTGAGTCCAACTCATATGCCAGGTTGCTTACCATACCAGTATATGCATAGTAATGATGCAAGTCTTGAGCCTACGGGCCCGGGCGGTGTTTCACGGGACGCTGCTACCACGCTGTTATCAAATTGCGCGAGCTGACGACTGACGTCACACTTGTGGTAGTGTTGGAGCAATGGGCCTGTTCATGTCTCCATGGAAACCCAATTTGACACGTGTAAAAGCATCGTGCTGCTATCACCGGTGAAACAGGGCCCCGGTGTCGGGCTTAAATTCGGACCCGCCGGACTTTTGCCGTGCCTAAGCTCGAGGAGGCCGGGCATATGCCGGGCTCGGCGAGGGCTTGCCTGTGTTAAAGGGACAATCCCACCTTCCAAAAAGTTAATAAATTGGCATAAAAGTGATGTACCATAAATCAGAAAGAGCGAAATTTTTAGGTTTACATTTTGCACGAAGCCACCAAAGCGATGCAGCAGGCTAGTGATATGTATTACTTGTTGCACACTCATATGTTGGGCAAAATGTATTGATGACAAGTGGAAGAAGTGGAAAAACGGTTTTAGCCTTTATTTGTGTATTATGTGTATACCTGTCAGCGCAGTGTGGAAGTTGAAATTGTTGGTTTGGTAAATCTTCATAAAAAAACATAATAGTTGTGGTTCAGTTCAAAGTTGATTCAAATTCACAAACTCAGTTTTTGTGATGTGGTTGCAGGTCGCCTGTGCTACACCAAGCTCAGAAAGGGAAAGCGGATCACACAGCCACCATCAGCGCGCTAGAACTCCAAGGAGGATCTGCGAGCGGCGCGCCAGGCGCCGTCGGAGCAGCCCCTGGTAGCGACAGCCGCCGCGCCGTCGGAGCAGTCCCTGGGAGCCACGGCCAGCCGCTGTCGGAGCAGCCTCTGGGAGCCGGCCGGCCGCCGTCGGAGAGGCCTCTGGGAGCTTACCTGTAACTGACTGCGGCTGACGTGTGTGTCCGTGTGCGCGCGTGTGTGTGTGTGCGTTTCCACTGGCAGTGATAGTGACAGGTGAACGGTGTTCATGACCGATGGCCGGCGGTCTTTGTTGTTATTCTGATAATACGTATGAGACATTGTTTTAATATGTTTTGTTCTGAAACGTTTCCAAAAACTGAATCACTTCATTATCATTCTACTTTCAAGCATGTTTACCAGATAAAAGGATTTGCAAATCAAAGGAAGTAAAATTGTGTGAAAATTTACTCAGTTGCGCAGCTAGCCAACACACATTTGCTACTGTCAGGCCGCTATGGGACATGTTCAAAGTAGCTCAACGTATTGAATGAGTCACTGCTCCCCCCCCCCCCCCCCCCGCGAACGTTGGCGCGCATTGGGCGCAGGCACAAGAGTGGTATCAACGACCGCCGTCTTGAGCTGCACCAGGGTCTGCTGGCTCTTCGTCATGTATGGTGCATTGTTCAGATATCCCCGCTGCACGCTGTACGCTGTACGCCGCTGTTTCGTTATAATATTTTCTACTCGATTTGTTTGAAATATGGAAATATGTACAGACACTGGATGTGCAAAGCGTCCGTGTAGGACATCTACTTGTTTCAAACTGTCCCGGAGCATCCATGTTTCGGAAGTGCACGGCGTCGATGATGGCGAAAACGAGAGGTGCAATAATGTTGTAGCGGAACACCGGGACTGCACACAACTCACTGCAGTTGTCGACGTTTACACCGAATTATCTTGCTCAGCTCAGGTTGGCTTTGAAAACGGCAGGGTCATCGGGCGGGCTTAAAGGCGGTTAATACAGAGGACGGGATGGAGTGAAGGTTCCCGTTCAGGCGGTAAAGGGGGGGGGGCGTCAAAATACCGGACTGTGACCCCTCAACGTGCGGCCGCCTCCCCCCTCCCCCAACTTTCATGACAACCATGTTAAGGACGGGCGTACAACTGTAAGCACATGCTGCATTTCGGATGTTGTGCCTGTAACAAATGTAAAGTTTTGCATTTTTTGACAATCAAAGCTCATTGCCTCCCAGCGAAGTAGATATTGAAACAATTTTTGAAGAGTTGATCTACCATTTGCCTATTCCGGCGACCGCCATAAAAGCCTCAAAAGCGTGTGAAATTCAATGGGCCTGAGCTGTGCTGGGTTCGGCGCCCATGGGCCCCGCTTGGGCTGGGCTGTGCTCTGTGGGTTGGCTGGCCCGTGACGAACACTGCACCCTCGAGCCCGGCATAAACTTAACATGGCCGGTTCATAGTATAAAAGTCCGGCTGAGCCTTCTTTCAGCTTAGCAGCAGCATTCTAGTATTTGCAGATACCGTGCATGTTTCATACAAGACACAATT